GTGTGTGTGAGAGAGAGAGAGAGAGAGAGAGAGGGCTGGTTGGTGGCTTTTTACAGACACACTGAGAGCAGAGATTGTGGGAGGGAGAGAGAGAGGCTATAGCACAGCTGAGTGGTGTTGATTGGCCTGTTTGAAAACACATGAACTGCGGACTGAGAGAGAGAAAAAGAGAGAGAGAGAGAGAGAGAGAGAGAAAAAAAGGGAGGGAGAGAGGAGCTCCGTGCACCGGGAGAAAAGTGTTTGCTCTGTGCCGTGCCACGCTGCAGCCCAAACCACATTAGAGCAAATGAATCCATTCCACCTCCTGTTATGGCAGCTCCCGCACAGGGCCCCAGGAAGGAGGAGGGAGGGAGACAGAGGAGGAGGGAGGGAGGGAGGGAGGGAGAGTGGCAGGAGGGTTGAGATATGAGGGACGGAGAGAGGAAAATGATAGAAACGGAAAATGGAAGGTGGTGGAAAGGAGTCGCATGCTGGGTGGCTCTAATGATGTCTGAGGGCTACAGAAAAGGGAGCGCAAAAAAAAAAAAAAAAAAGCACAAAGTGGTGAGAGAGAGAGGAGCTGTGGCCATATAACTGAAGAGGAGGAGGAGGAGGAGGAGAGAGAGAGAGAGGGGGAGATCCTTATGGTCTCCTTTTCCTCACAGATGAGGAATAATGAAGATGAACCCATGGACAATAGTTGCTCATTTATAGATTTGAGCACTGCCAGATTAAGATCCAACACCAGCAAATATATTGTTTTTCATAACACTGCGTACAACCCTGTATTTTTCTTTCACTTGAATTAAAATCTATTATGCACATAATCTTCCCTTAAAGGCCTGTGAAACCCTATTCAAACCACTGCCTGACTTTAAATCCGTACAATACACTTTAATGAACTCAGTACTGAACGTTAACCCACTGATGAAAAGTGATTATTTCAACTCAAAAGAGAAATCCAGTTGATGAAGTCAAATCATTTTGTTGCTGGTTGATATCACAAGTTTTAATGTCATCTGTAGCCCGGACTCTATTCAGGCTGCCTGTCCAAGGTACAATAGTTAAGCCCCTGTGACGTCTCGCCCTCACTATGAATATCATGGAGGCGTTAAAGGGGGATGAAGTGATTCCCCCCCCCTTGCTGCCTTCAAGATAGTAACAGGAGGTACAGGTGTGAGACGGGATCGGCGGAGCAAGCATGGGAGAAAAGGGCCACGCTTTTGTGTGTGTGTGTGTGTGTGTGTCTATGTAGGGCACCTGTTTGTCTACACGTCCTGCTTATGCAACGTTAAACCCGATGTGAATTCACAGACTGGGATATACCAATATTACGCCGTCGTGGAGTCACTTTAAATGTACAAAGACGTATTGACGGCAGAGCTTTGTTGCAGCGCTGTTGTGGCATCACACTCTGATTAGTTTAAGATGCTGCCACACAGAAAGTGTTGAAGCTTGTCTATGATAAATTGAAGAAAGTTTATTTTTATTCCTAAAGAAATTCGACAGCTGCAGTGTATACCTAGACTAATGATTGACTACATCTGCACCGTAGGTACTTATTTAGAGACTGTGCCTTTGTTCTGCTGGATATTGTTAGCGAGGTATGGATTGGAAACTGTCTTCAGTTTGTTTGTTTTTTTTCCAAATCATCGTCCTATTACATTTAATCAGTTACATTTCTGCAAAAAAATACAGTCATGAACACCACAACAAAGGCGAATATTTTCACTCTGTAGTCTGTATTGATGAGTTTGATGAATTGTTACACTCCCATCTTCATTCTTTATGTATTTCAGTTTTTTTTCTTTCATCATCATACTTGTACATACATTCTTTGTAATATAGCAACAAGTAAGGTCTTTTACCTGCTTTTTGTAACATAACAATGAGTACGGTCTTTTTACCTGCTCTTTTGTAATGTTAACAGACAAAGAGGAAGGTATTTTAACTGCTTTTTGTAAAGTGTCTTGAGATAACACTTGTTATGAGTTGACGCTATACAAAATGAATTGAATTGAATTGTATTTTTGGATGTGTGTAAATAAATATTTTGTGTCTATGAGTTTTCCAACACGTTCTTTGCCCATGAAAATGTCAAAGGGATTTAGCATGCATATGTCCTGATTACATCTATGATGATATCTCAAAGAAATACTCTAACTTCATTCATATTGTGCCTCAGATTTCAACCATATCCTTGCTGCTAATATACTCCTATATAATAGACCGTCTTGGAGTGCAGCATGAGCTCCTGCCTCCATTCAACCCCCTCTGACTGATCACATTCATAAAAAAGCTGCACTTGACAAAGGTGCTAGTCATTTGTCTGAAATGGGAAATCACTCATGCTATGAGTGATCATACACCATGTGTGTGCGTGTGTGTGTGGATGAATAAGTGTGTGTAATACTGCTGATAATAAAGAGATAATTCCAACACTCTCTCTCTCCCCCCCCTACTGAGGCTGGGCCTTTTTGCCCCCTTCATGACATACTCCACTGCTTTCATATTCCTCTGCTTTTGTTTCTGAATGCGTATTTCTTGCCCCACTTCCCCCAGCGTGTTTGTCTCAGGAAAGAGAGGAGGGAAACAAAACAAAAAAAGTGTGAGTTTTGTAGACAGCTTCCTCCAATTTCAGCATTATTTGCAGAAGGATTATTTCATTTTACTCTGCTCTGATTCATGGCACCGCCACTGCGGTTTTAAAGGACGGTTGTGATATGAACAACATAATTGGATGGGTTAAGCAGTGCTTAGAGGAGCTGATTAAGATGTTTTGGGAGACAATAAAGATGCATCTTCAGCGTGTACATGTTGAAACAATCACAGCAGCAGCCCGGAAAAGTCTAAAAAAAGAAGATAAAAAAAAAAAAAAAAAATGTAGGTTAGATGAGAAAAATCACTTTTCTCTACTGTGGTTAAACTTAATTTTCTCCAGTCTGGATGTAATCAGTCAATCTGAAGTGAAGTAAGAGCTAAAGTGTTTCTCTTGGTATGATGATACGACAAATTACACTTTTATTTAGATAAAGAACGGGGAGAAGGGGAGGATGTGTGGCTTCTTCTGCCATGTTTCCACTGAATCGTAGTCTGTTATGCAACACATCCCCCCCCCCCCGGAACATGGATGGGGGTGTGTGGTCGTCAGCATGGACAGTCAATCAGGTGGATTGACTTCTTATCTCAGTTACAACGCCCACGACCGAAGTCACTTTTCCACCTCGCTCATTATCCTTTTAGAACCTGAGGGCCTGTCTCTTAATTGACTAACAAAAGAACTGCTCCTTGGTGGGAGAAAGATTTGTGCGTGCGAGTATGCAATTGGGGAGGAGGGTGGGGGAGAGGAGAGATTATTAGGCAAAAGAGGCCGAATTCTCATCCCCCCTCCAACACTCCTCCTCCTCCTCCTCCTCCTCCTCCTCCTCCTCCTCCTCTCCTTCTTCTTCAGTCCTGGCTCTGTGTGTTTGGGACAGCAGGAAGGGAAACTGGAGGAGAAACAGTTAATCAATAGCCACAAGGTCAGACGGCCAGCGCCGGGGCGGGAGCGTGCCCTGTTAGCGGTCCGTGGAGCTGCCTGGCTTGCTGAAGGGGATTTGTAGCACTTGTCAGGGGCTTAAAGGAGCCCTCTCTGGACCACTTGCTCCGGGTGGAGTAGAGTGAGAAAGACATGCTGATTAGCAGCAGGAGAGGGAGACCTCTGCTGGATGCCGGGAGACACCACAGCAGAGCAGAAGTAGGCCACCCAAAGTTCTGGTCAGATTATGCGTGGCCGGTGGTGGCTTTGTGCCCTGGTGGATGGTAAATTAGCTGTTTGGTGGGGGGGGGACTTTTTTTTCTCTCACAGATTATCTGCAACCGCTGCAGCATCATGCTCAAATAACCTGAACGGAGTCATCCTGCTGCCTCACTGTTTGACCACATTGGTTGGCTCCAGAATTCCCCTTTACTCATTCCTGAAATGTATCCGCTGTTGTTTGAGAATTTGTGCCAGTGCACTCCAGGTAATTCTACTCTGCTAATGTTTAAGCTCAGAGGATTAGTAATACACTCTTATTCTGAAGGTGTTCCTTTGAAGTTTTACCTTTACGCTTAATCAAAGTGAAGAACATCAGCTTTTGTATTTACATGCTCTTTGGTGTGTGTGTGTGTGTGTATGAGTGTGAGAAAGAGAAGGAGACAGAAAGAGTGTGAACACTTGCTACACTCTTTGTAAGATAAGCTCACCAGACTGAGCCTACCACATAAAAAAAAAAAAAAAAAAAAAAAAACCCTCCCCAGCTGAGCCCTGCGCTTCTATCGTTTTCGTTTTCTCGATCTGCTTGTCACAGCGGGAGATCTTTGGGGACCCTTTATCAGTACTGAGCAGCTTTCTAGAGCGCCCCCCCCCCTCTTCCCCCCCCACCTGTGGCTTTCTAGTTTGCCTTTTGTGTGGAGGAATGTGAGGCTGACCAGCATGATGGAGATAAACACAGAGGGATGTTGAGGGGACAGAGGCATCGCAGGCAAAACCAGCACGACGCCTCTTAATCCAGCCTCAGCCTGCTTTGCTGAAACGGTCAAGAGAATTAAGCGCAAAGCTGGACTTCTTCTTCTGTTGTTTCTCATCAACGACATCAAGACACAACAAAGAGATGCTACATCTTATCAAGTGTTACGTGTGCTGCGAATTAGTTGCCTATGAAACATCAATAACATTGGTTGCAAATATTATTAAATTGAGTTACTAACATGTGAGTAAACTACAAAGTTTTAGACAGTTTTGTCTTTTAAAAAAAAAAAAACTATCCTGCTTTGGAGCCTCTCATTTTCACATGTTTGCCAAAAAATACATGACACACCAGGGTTGGTTCAAGCCCTTCAATGAGTCACTTTCCTTGTTTGTGAGTTTGTCAAGCTGCTAAAAAAGCTGTTTGACTTGAGAGGCTGCGAACACTTAACATACAAGACCTGAGCAAAATAGAAAAACCTGTTCTAACAGACGTGTGTCTCTCCACTTCTTCTTCTCCTTCTTTTCGCAGACTAAAGAGCTTTTAATGGCGTCCCGGTAGAGACATCAAGATGAACACGTTACCATCGATGGACCGGCACATCCAGCAGACCAATGACAGGCTGCTGTGCATCAAACAGGTGCGTATGAAGCCTTTGTGTTTTAGCTAGTCTTGTTAGCCTTCAGCATCTGTCAGAACCGCTGCAGATAGAGAGGTTCTAGGGGCGAAGACACAAGGATCCTCTTTCTCCTTTCAGCGCCATATATGGACTTCAGTTTATCTGGCCATTAGCTGCAGTCACACAGATCATATTGCACAGGGTCATAGAAAGAGAGAGAGAGAGAGAGAGAGAGAGAGAGAGAGGGGTAAATCTGGCAGTGAAAACAACTTCAAAGCAACATAACTGACTCTCCTTCTCTGACTCCCCGCGCTCCTTTACATCACGTTCCTGACGCCTGACGTATGCTGGCCCTTGTTGTGTGTGGTTTTTTTTTTTTTTTTCTTGCTTAAATGTTGCATTGCCTGCCAGCTTTCAGGAGACTCCTCACAGGCAGCTAGAGAGGGAACGACACAGTCAGTCAGTCAGACACAACCCAGGGCTACCGCCTCTGCCTGTGATTAATAGTCTACAAGAACTGGCTGGCTGACCGTGGGCTCATTTGTTTATACTATGTGGGTGTGATCCTTTCTATCTCCCAACATCCATGCGACACCGTGCCTTACAGTGAATCAGGGACTGATCAGGCTTTGAGCTTGTGATTATGAGGTGACATATCCCTCTCTCTCTCTCTCTCTCCCTCAAACTCCTGAGCACCCAATTATCTAAACAGGCTGAGTACTTTGTATGAAGTGTTGAGCCTGACGTCAACATCTCTGGAAAGAAATATTCCAAGCTTTTCTTGAATGAGTAGAATTCCTGCAGGATTGACACTACTCACTTCACTAAGTCTCCTCAATTGCTCTCTCAGGCGTCACTGATAAGCCCTAAATAGCCTGAGTTAACACGTCTGGCTTAATAAAGGCACTAATTGTAGTTCGGGTTTATATACTCCTCGGCGCAGGCTGTAATAGAACTCGTAGTAAACCAGACTTCAAAGGCGGAGAGTCAGTGTGAGAGCGTGCGGCGGCTCTGCCAGCAGGGTGTTGTTTCTGTTTGGGGAAAGCCGCTGGCAGGGCGCCAGGTGTTGTGCTGCTTTTCATGCAGCCAGGTATGCACAGCACAGCCTGATCCTGGACTGGCCCTGAAAAGTGGGCAGGTAAGTCCATCATCTTGCTGAGGACGGTATGTCAAACGTCTGTCTCTTTGTCTGCTCAAACCTCGCCAGTGCTGCTGCTGCCTTCTTCTGCTCCCCCCCCAACCCACCCATCCTCCATGTTCTTGTCCTCATCCAACCCTGAACAGCAACAACAACACAAGCAGCTCAGGCCTCCTAAAAAAAAAAAAAAAAACTCCACCTCCCCTCCTCACACCAGAGTCGAGGTTGTCAGGCAGAGTCGGTGGCGAGTGCTGCAGCAGGAGGAGCTGTGAGTTCAGATGCAGACAGACAGCCCCTGCTGTGCCAGTTCTGATTCCTCTCGCGCTGGAGGCTGATATGCCTCCCATCAAGCAGCAATAATGCCAGATTATATCACTCATCTAGAACAGGCTCTTCTCCGCCTCCTCCTCAATCTCACTCGGCAACAGCATCTCTCCCCGCTGCTCTTCATGGTCAGTCAAACCCCCCCCCGCAAGAGTCCACAGCTACCTCTGTGAAGGCTAATCTTCACATCAAAAAAAAGATGAGTCACTCAAGGCCCCTCTCTTGAAACTCATGATATCATTGGAGATTTTCTCGGCAGGCGGGTCCCAGGCCTCACGTGTTAGGCCTGGTTCACACCCAAGAACCCCTTTTGTCACACAGCTGCCCTTTGAAATAAAAAAAAATAAAATAAAAAAACCCTGCTCACCTCTGCTGCCCCCTAAAGACAATAGTGTACCTTCTCTTCAGGAACACACAAAACAAAACGCTTCAGCTCCAGATGAGAATAATAAACGCTTTCAAGTGGGCTCAATCTCGCCCAACTGAACGAGCTGCAGCTCTGCGCCATTTCAGAGCTATTAACCTCCTGAGCCGTAGAGAAAGGGAGCCCAATTTTAAAACCGCTTATTGTGTCCTGCCAGCCCGAGTAGCCTTCAGACACTGGGAAGAAAAGACTCGACTGTTTCAGGCCTCAGTGAACAAGCAAGAGAGACAGACAGAGACTGAAAGAGATTAGACAACACACCAACGGCGCACATTGAGTCCGCACACATAGCTGCCAGGACCAAGGTTGTTTTTCTTTGTGAACAGCCAAGGCAGCCAGTGGACTTGCGGTGCCGGCTGAGGCTCTGTTACACTCTGAAAACAGGCAGTGAAAGAGGGGAAGAGAGAAAGGAGGAGTGGAGGGAAAAAAGAGGTTTGGTTGCCGTGTGGGTCATGGGGGCGAAGGCTGGGTGTTGCCAAGAGAGATTAACAGGAAACACTGGCATCATTGTTGGTATGGGTGTGATCTTCTTCCCACAATGCATCAGAGGACTGAGTGGGCGTACACTGGAAGGAGTCAAGGTCCTCACAGGGTTGTGCAGAAACACAAGACATTAAATCAAGGCAGTTTGGAGGGAAAGAGCGAGGCTGCAAAACTGTTTGGTTTCACTGTTTTTCCAATTTGTACTGAATGTGAAGAAAAAAAAATAATGCTCATTATTTCCCATTGTTTCTAATGGCCGTCTTGTTCCTCTGTGTTTGCACAGCACTTACAGAACCCGGCCAACTTCCACTCGGCGGCCACAGAGCTGCTCGACTGGTGTGGAGATCCCCGGGCCTTCCAGCGACCTTTCGAGCAAAGCCTCATGGGATGTCTCACGGTACGCAAACAATAATTATGGTTTTTCCTGCTTCGGGTTTTTCAGGTGCTTTTTAAGGAGACGTGAGCAAAACAATAATTAGGAAAAAAAGAAGAAAAAAACTGATGTGTCCACTTCTGAGGAGTGTAGCCCTGTAAATTATCTTTTTTGTTTTGTCTCCTTAATGATTTTAGTTGAAACAGTTGGTGGCAGCCTACAGTCACAAGTTTGTATCCAACACGTATTAAAGGCTGCATTTCAGGCTGTCGGGATCCAGCGACACAGGTTAAAGTCCTTGTCACCCACTGCTTCTCTCCACTAAGGGTTACACACACACTAACACACACACATGTACACACACTCAACAAAAAAGAGGCATGAACAGGACTGTGGGTAGCCAGTAACCCCTGGCTACAGCCTTTCAGTTCAGCAGTTACCATTCATTGATTTTGGCTCAGAGCCAGGGAGCGACCCTGCACCAGGTGTGCGAAAAAAAACCTCACACATACATTACACACACTCACACTTACATTACATACACAGTCACATGTGTGAAAAGAGGCTTTGGAGCAGAGAATTGAAAGTTTCATGCGTTTATCGCTGAGATCGGTCACACTGACACACAGGGGGAAACACTGAAGGAACATTGTTCGCAGCTGAAGTGGTAGCGTGAGCAAACAGATAAATGCTCATTAATGTGCAAATCACAATAAAAGCCTCTTAAAGGCTGATAAAGAGCTATACAATGGAGGCCACCACTGAGATCCCTCTCAGCATGGGGCTGTTTCCATCAGCTAAATTGTTTCATCAGACTCCGAGAGCTAACAGCTTCTTATCTGGAGAATTACAGCGCACAACAAGTCGGTTCATTCTTTAATCGAGGATTCTTTCTATGAACCTCGCCTGCTCTGTATCAAGAGCGCTGAATTGAAATGTAAAGACGACTGTGCATATATATCCATCGTGACATTTATGTTCGCTGAATGGAATTGAATGTAAGGCTCATATGGAGATTCCTTTCCCCCCACTGGCATTTGGAATAAGTGGAGGTCAATCCTCGGATCCTGGGTGGACTGTCGGCTCCTGTGTCAATAAAAAATGACATGAGGGAGCTGTTGCTGCAATATTAGCTCTGTCTGCTTGACAGTGTTTTTTTTTACTTTATCTTGTGGATGGATGGATGGACTGAAGTACTTTTGATTCTAAACTGGGAAAATGTTAACAGGTTATTGTTAGCAGGTTATCAGAACAGATAAAACACCTGAGAAATGAAGACTGAGTAAATAAACACCAAGAGTAAAAGAAAGAATCGTATACAAGCAGACATTCTTCTACTCAGCAGTAATAAATAATAGCTTCAAATATGGTCGATCTAAAATATGACAAAAAAAGTAGTATTATAATCATGACTTAACATACGTAGGAAAAACATCATAACAGAAAAAGGAAAATGTTGCGTAATATTTGCAGTTATCAAGTAAAGCTTAAAACAGATGGACAGTCTACAAATACATTCTATAAATGCAGCTCAAACATTTAACAAATACTTAAGGGACACAGGATGTATTAAAATCGTGTGAGAATGCTTATTGTCTGAACGCTAATTAAGACACAATTAAAGACAGAAGCAACGACCCACTTACTAAAGAGTAATGATTGATTTGTGCACTTAGCCAACAAGAGATGGAAATCTTGTAGAAATTCTCCAGATCAATACCCCTTTTTTTTTTTTTTTTTTTGCATGGTTCACTTTAAATCCTTTCTGTAAAAGTGTGTTTTTCAAAAGGCTTCAAAAGATGAAGAACTGTTTTTTATTGCTGGTTTTTTTGCATGCTTTATCAAGTGCATGCAGATATCTGTATCTTTTCCTGCCTCTGGTACTGCAGATTTTTCAAAAACGCCCACTTAGTACATTAGGAGCCGTCGCTCACATACGGCTGCTTCAACAACAAGCAGAAAGAAAAACGCTTTTTTTTCTTCCTTCCTGCTAAACATACAGACACACCAGAATCTCTGAATGGCCCAGTAACCCTGCAGCCCCCTCTTACAACACAGTTTTCATATTGACAGGAATATGGGTTCTGGATGTACATCCTCCGAGGGAGATTAAAGATGAAAAAAAAAAAAAAAAAGGCTTATGAGGTGAAACACTGCTAAATCCGTGTTGAATCTATGCTAGCCTCTGTAGCTGGCTGCCTGCCCTCTGCAAACTGCAGGGCAGACTCACTCGCGCAGGAAATTAAACGATTGACAACAAACATGATTCGAGCGTTTGTCAGAGTCGTCACCGTTTGCATAATGTGGTCGGGGGTTGAAAAGATTATGTCGTGAAGCGCTCATCCCTGGAACGTCATCCACACATGTCTACTGAACAGCTTCAAATGCACGTAACGTGATTAACTGCAACAGGGGAATTAAACGGCAGCGTCTCTTCATTAAAACCACCGACGAAGGCGTCGTGTTTGTTGAGTTTATTAACATGGTTTTAATAGTTTTTTTCAGCCAGTGTTCAGAAGAACTTTATGGCTGCTGCTTGCTGTGATGTTGGCTCTCTAAAAAGACACCCCTTCTGACCTTGTTAACTGTTATGTGCGTTTTGAGGTCAGAGGGAGCAGAGGAGTTGTCATCTGTTAACAGATAAAAGCGAGGGGTCGGGGGGGGGTGGGGGGGTTCCCCTCCAATAATGATTTACCCCTGTCTCCTGAGTCCTGTTTAACATCACTCAGCATCCCTTAAACATTGTAATAGAGTCTGTGAGGCTCCTGCTTCATGTCCCATTAATTTACAACCTCATTTTGAAGTCATTGACATGCGAGGATGATACAGTCCTACAGTTTTGGGGGGTGGTTCCTTTTTTAAAAGTTGGAGGGAAAAGAAGAACCTTTGTAACCCCAAAACCGCCGCAAAACCATGTTTTACATACCGGTTTTCTGCACTTGCCTGTCTTCTTCTGGCTTCACATAACCATTACCCAGTGGGGAAAAAAATGACTTAATGCCTGATATTTCCCCATTTCCACGGTGTGTTTGGTGAATAGACGTGCCAACCTTTACCCAGGAGAAGATCTCTCTTTCCGTTTGTTTGAGGCTAACCTTTCAGAGACTTCCCTCGTTGTGCACGGTGACTGTTGTTTGGCTCGCTTGTCTCTCTTTGGAGGTCAATGGAGTCATCATGCTCGTCTTGTTTGTCAGTGGAGCGATGCAGACTGCAGACTCCACGTTTATCTCCCTGCGTCTGTGTTTGACAGTGTGAGTGTTTATTCTGTGCGTGTCTGAAGCAAATGAAGTTGAGAGATAACGGTGGCTCCAAATATAAACACAATTAAGAAGGAGTAATGATTACATTCCTTTACTTAAGCTAAGTGTTTATTAAGAGGACTCGCAGCATGTGAGATATCAATATCATGGAGTATTGTATAAGAAGTGCAGTTCAAGACAGATGGATTAGTCCATTAGAGTGCCAAAATAGATACAGAACATAATGATATACAGATAGTTGTTTAAATGCTAAAGTTACTTAAATAACAGCAGTAGTTCTCTTTTGAGTTTCTACCTGTGGAGACTGCCTATAGGGGCGGCTGTGGCTCAGTGGTAGAGTTGGTCATCTCTCAACCAGAAGGTCAGAGGTTCAATCCCCAGCTCCTTTCCATTGTTACCTTGGGCAAGACACTTAACTCGCTCCCGCAGCTTTGTCAGCACCATATGAATGAATTAGTTAAAACTCATGGACACTTTACACAGCAGCCTAGACTAGACTAGAAAAGCGCTACACAAGCTCAAGTCCACTCACCATTTAGATGGCTGAATTGGATTTAGCGATTATCTGACACCATAGTTCCTTAGGCACCGCAAAAACAATCTGCTGTTTTCAGGTAATTGATCATGTAACATTATCCTAAAACATATATAAGTTCAAGAAGAGAATCTTATCTAAGTCAAAGTTATTTCTTTCTAAACAAATTTTATCAGACCAAAAAAAAAAAAAACAGATTATAAGAAAGAAAACAACCCACTGATGAATAATATTACATTGACTTGTCTTGATGCAAAACGCAATATTCTCAAGTATTTCTACATCGTGGCAAGTGACTTTCAGGATATTTGATAAATGATAAGTCAAAGTTTGTAAAACATTTTAACCTTTGATGATATGTTTGTTAACTTGTTTAGAGGAGGTTCACAGTATTGTATCGGCTCATACTGAAAGTCTTCAGTATGTATTGGTAGTGATATTAGAGAGTTAAAAAAATGGTATGGACACATCTCCTGTTCTCATGAGCCATTGCTGTGTCCCTGCAGGTGGTGAGTCGTGTGGCTGCTCAGCAGGGCTTTGACTTGGACCTGGGCTACAGGTTGCTGGCTGTGTGTGCTGCCAACAGGGACAAATTCACTCCCAAGTCTGCAGGTAAGATCTGACTTTCTTTTTTTTTTTTTCCTTATTCTTTTTTACAGCCCAAGCAGATGCATGCCTCTATACTTCATCCCATTTATGCTGTTGATGTGCAAGTCAGTTGATGACACAGTGCTCATTGTTCCTCATGCTATAATTGTTCACTTTTTCATGACATTCGACACAACAAATGCTTTGAAGTCATGATCCAATCAGAGGTGACTCTCGTCTCATTCTTCTTCTGACACCTTGAAATGCAACACGTAGCTGCTTCTTATGTTTTAAGCAGTTTAAACTGACATACTTTGTAATTTGCAAATGACTTTGTTCCTTTGAATACATATAAAGACATTGAAGTGTCCCATGAATCTGTGTTTTGGACATTTTTAGCTATCTACAAAAAAACCGCGCCCACAGACATTACACAAGAAGCCCACAGGGCATTATAATGTCAGATATTTTTAGCCCGCATTAAACATTAATGTGCTATTGAGATGAGCTGTCTGGGTGGCAGCATCACAAAAACAGTCGACTCAACAGTCTTTCCCACACAAACCCACATGTGCAGTCTGCATGCACACACACACACACACACACACACACACACACACACACACACACACACACACACACACACACACACACACACACACACACGCAGTGCGGTATGAAGACAGAACAGAAGCCCCTCTCTTATGACATTTATGTATCCAAACCCAACCCCTCTGGATTCAAACCTCCCCTCTCGTCTTGCTCCCACAGTCCTGCAGGAGTGGCCTGTACATGTGCATTTGTCAAAGTGAAATGTGCAGAGGCTAGAGAGAGGAGAGAGAAAGAGGAGGAGAGATGGATGGCCTGGGAGGTGTCGCTGATGTTTGCTGGACCGCTCACTCTGCCTGACAGAGACCTGACAAAGCTGTACCCAGCCAGTCAGAACACAGATAAACCTTAGTGCGGCTGTTACATAAATGGGAGTAGCGGGAGCTAAATATTTGGATTAAACTGTCTGATTTGTATTTATTTTTTTTGTGAGAAGAAGACATGTCAGTGTTTCATAACACACGCAGATATTTTAGGCGGTGCTGTGACTGAACAAACAGAGGGCAGAAAGGCATCACTTTGTCTTTTACTCTCATTGCTACTATGATTCCGACATTTGCTCAAGCTAAATATCCTCTTTCTGTTGTAGTGGGAAGCGTCTTGTTTGGAGGAAACTAAAGTGGTCAGACAGACGTCGGTGTACAATATTGATCGCTGTATTTCTCTCTCTGTCTGTGCTCCTGTGTCGGTGTAATGCGATTGTTTGTCCAGGCACTGCTGTCTGTCTGCGCCCGCCTGACAATCAGAATCATCCTCAGGCCGGCTGATGGTTCTGGGATCTAATAGAAGACAGCACAGGGGTTTCAGGAAAGAGCTGTTTATGCATGGTGGACAAATGGGAAGTGTAGTGTGATTATGCGGGGTAGTGGGGGCAGGGGAAGGGAGATATGATGCAGCCAGTCATAAGAAGAGGAAAGGCAGGCTGTTGGGGTAGGAGGCAGATGTGACTCAGGGCTGATCTAACTCACTGAGCATCCGTCTTACCTCCCTTACAAGGACGTCTGTCTGAGAGAGCAGACGGGGGGGCGACAGAGGAGACGTGATGCACACTTTAACTCAGACAAACATGCAATTGTCCTACAAGTGCATCGACAAAAACGCAGGCGAGCTTTTATTGCTCTGTTAGCTCTTGTCTGTACGGTCTCATTTACTTTCTACTGTCCGTGTAAGTGTACGTCTGTGTGTGTGTGTAGAACGTGCCTTCTAATTGTGCAGCCCCAGCACAATCCTCCCGACAGCCCACATGGCGACAGAGGGCCACAGATCTGACACCTGAGAGGCCAAACACGAGGGCCGGGGAGTCTGGGATGCTCTCAGGGGGACGAGGAAGGCTCTTAAGACGGATAGATCAATCACAGAGATGCTTCCTCTCAGAGCAGCAGTTATACAGGACATTGATAAAGCAATTATTGCTACCTCACTGTTTTTTTTTTTTAAACAGTTTGACAACTTGAGCTCTTTTAAATGGAAGCTGATGTTTGGATTAAGAGCAATTACTACACATTGGCTGCTGCAGAGTGCATGCACATACAGATCAGGCAGGAATTTTAGGAAAACATTTTTTTTTTAAAGCGAAGATACATTTGAGAAATCTACAGTCAAAAGAACATTTTCCATCCTGTCTGAATAGATACGTCTTGTGCTTTTCTTTTAATTTGTACATGTGTTTGTCTGTCAGTCACTTCACATAAGAGAATCCGCAAACAAACCACAAATGCCTAAAGTTGCACTGCTGCCCCGAGAGACCCGTCGAGTGACATCAGGAGATTTTCAGCAACAGCACAGTGCTGCTGATGAGCTGTCTGCAGATTGTGACCCTGCAGGGGGGGGGGGGGGGGGGGGGGGGATTAGTGTATTGCTCTAATCTGGAATGAGCCAGAGAGGGGACTTACATACTGTTAGGTGAGCTAGCATTAGCACTGTTAACCCTGCTGCACTGCTTTAACGCTGATAGCATGTTAGCAGAGAGCATTTACCGATTTCCTTCACTTTCTTGACAATGAGCAACTTCCCGGTTTTGATTTTTGCATCTTGAACTTCTTCTTCTAAAGTTGTTGATGAAAGTGTGCAATTGGTTTTTTTTCAAATCTTCTTACGGTTGTTTCTGTTTCCCAAGTCATAATCTGCAGTCTGAGAGGTTCATTAGATAATAGTTGTGCTGTTTGCCCTGCAATCACACACGACTATACTAGACTCTAAGCTGCTGCACTTGAAGTTCAGCAGACAACAAATCAGATTAGCCTTCGTAATCTATCGAGGGTTTTAGCGTTTCCTTCCTCAGTGAATCTGCCTCCAGGCTTTGCAGCACTTTGTTCTCTTTCTTCCTGAAGCGCGAGCTGCAATAATAAACCTCCAGATTACCATTATGACAAGTTAGGCACTTATTATGACAACTTTCCTGCCTCCTCTACTCAATGATGTCACCTACTTTTTTTTTTTTTTTTTTAGGTTTCAATGCGATGAGAGTACATCTTTTGACTCAGTTTGTGTTTTATGAACATGACTCAACTAGCTCTGGATTATAAGTAACTGCTCCCTTGGAAGGATCGCTATGTTCTTTGAAAAAACGGTCTTTAATGTTTTTAAGTCACCATGCAGGTTGCTGCTTGTTGTTCCTCCACTTAGAAGAAACCCTGTTACAATCATTTACGTTGGCATCATGTGTTATCAGAATACGCACACGAGTTTAAGCTCAAGCTGTTGTGGTAAACCGGCTGGGACTTCTTTTTTTTTTTTAAAGATTCCCTTTTATCTACAGGAGGGATAATAGTCTTTGATGTTTGTGTTGTTAGTTTCTCTTCTTCCTCAGCTGATTAAGAATGAGTCTTTGAAAAAGGAAAAAGAAAAGGATAATATGATGTGGAGGGCATAGCTTTGTACTAGATGGTTTGGTAAATTCCACCACCCACTCACAGCTGACATTAAAGAGAAATTGTCCCGGCAGAGCTGCAGAACTGTCAGCGCTCGGTCAGTCAACAGAGCGTGCCGCTCGCAAGGCGATCACATCAGGAAAACAACCTCTCTGCTGTGTCAACAGTGACGGAAAAACTTCCAGGGTGTGGCTGTAACTCACCCCGTGTCCTGTAAAACACACACACACACACACACACACACAGAGTTCAGGAAAGAACAACACTTCAACAACTGCTATAATTCAGCAAGCAGTGCAAGAGAGTGAAAATAAGTGCTCCCATTAGACTTTAGACTTGTTTAAGCGCCTGCACACACATATACACACACACACACACACACACACACACACACACACACACACACACACTTTCCCTCTCTTCCTACAACATGTCTTCCACTTATCAGTCTCAATTTACGTCCACTTGATTGATTCTCTCACCCCCCGTCTTTCCTTCCGTCTTTGAGCTGCGTGTGTAGAACCAGAGGAAGGTGTAGGCATCCTTTGTTACTGACCCAATCAACCTTACAGACTTTTATATTTAATTACTGCTGAGTAAGAGCAGCGCGCTGAATTATTAACAGGGAAAAAGGGGTTATTTTTAGTGCGCGGGCTTCTCCTCTGACACTCTCCAGCGGTTCGCCTTAGATGATGAAACCCCTCTGCAACCCCCTAAAACTACATTCAGAACTTCACTATTAAGTTTATAGAAACAAGGCTCATGGGGGAACTACTTTATTAGTGTAGTTTCTTCTTCTGCCGGGGGCTCATCGGGTCTTCTATCACTCGCCACTTAATTGGTTTGGTTTACGCAGTTGCAAGTAAATTCATTTTTCTTAATATCCCATCTGAGCCCATTCAGAACAGAAGACTTTGTTCTTGTCAAAACCGGATGAGCAAATGATTCAAATCCTCCTTTTGTTCAGGGTTGACTGATCTGGCACTCACACCTCAGGACTCAACCCCCACCCACCCACCCACCCATCATCCCCCTTTAGGGGTTTTTTTGACACACCCTTTTCAAGTTATATTTCCAACAATGCCCCTGTTGTGTGTGTGTGTGTGTGTGTGTGTGGATATTTTTTTTGAGTCTGACTGAGCGCGTCTGTCACACAAAAAGACAACTTCCCTCCGCTGTCACAGAGGCCAGTGGGCTTTCCCCGACTCTTCTGCTGCGCTGCACATTGCGACTTTTCGGTAAGGAGAGAGAGAGAAATGACAATTTAGATCTTTCTTTTCCATTTATCTGTTCTTTTTTTGTTTTGTTGGTATGGTTATGTAAGGGGGCTGGTGAGGAGAAACTGAACTCAGATTCACCCTCAACCTGCTTCGTCTTTAATTCAGCTTGTACTCTGCTTCTCTCTGATGTGTCTTGTAAGTTGGATTTACAAAGTTGCCTCTGATGAAGACATGGGGGATGTTGTCAGATTAGATTGTCCTGCAGGCAGGAATCCCCTCTCTGATAAGGCTGATAGCTTAGAGCCTTTGTAAAGATTGATCTTTACAAGTCATACTTCCTTCTTCTCCCACTTCCTTTTTTTTTCATGCGCTGGCTCTCAGCCAGCCTGCATAGCATGTTAAGCTCCACCCATGTATGCAAGTTTGCAATCTGAGCTTGCTTTTTTCTTTGCTTGTTTCTTCTGGGTTTTTTTTTTTTTTTTTTTTTTTTTTGCCCTTCCTGACAAATGGCAGGCATATTGACGGATTACGCATGTGTGTTTCTTCGTGTGCGATAGCAGTTTAGAGAAACAGAGCGATGAAGCACTACACTGACTAGCCGGGGCACATCAATAACAGCACCTCCTGACAGAGGTGAGAATCACTGGAATATCTTACCTGCTCTATCTCTACTCCTGTTTGTCTGCGTCGGCTCGCTGTCGTTATCTCTTCCTCTCATCCTCCCTCCTCCTCTGCTTGTCTCCTCTTCTCCCCTCTGTCTATCCACCCCTCCACCACCACCACCACCCCCCCTCCTCCTCCCTGCTGTCTCGAGAGTGTGTTGGAGCCGGTAGCAGGTACAGCAGGAGCCCATTAGTGCACAGCCCTTGCTCTGATTGGATGAGCCGGAGAGAAACCGGGAGACTGCCTCTGAATAATTGATGTGCATTGTGCAGACGCTGGACAAGGGGAAAAGACAGATCAGAGAGCAAGGGAGGAGGAAGAGAGTGAGCAAAAGAAGAAAAAAAGAAAAGAAAAGACAGAGAAAAGACAGGAGGAGTAGAGAGAGAGAGAGAGAGAGAGGAAGTAAGAAAGAAAGAAAGAGTGAGGAGAGTAAAGGATATGTGCAGAGAGTGAGAGTGATAAGGCGCAGGCAGGAGGCTTGGGAGCAGCGAAAGCTTTGAGAGTTGCCACCGGCCTCTGCGGGAACAGGAGCATTTGTGACACTTGAGTCTTTTCTCTGCGCTATGAAGGGAATGAGATGAGATGTGCAGGGACTTTGCTTGGCTCTGGGTAAGTGTGTGTGTGTGTGTGTGTGTGTGTGTGTGTGTGTGTGTGTGTGTGTGTGTGTATTTTCACTATCCATGTGTGCATCCCTGCACAGAACTATTTGATGTGTATTTGTGTGTGCATGCATCGGGCAGGATCAGGGGTTAACAGGCCAATGGAGCAGTTGAAGTCTAAGAAGATTAAGTAGAGTTGCAAAAAAAAAGGGCAGCAAAGTAGCTCGATTATGTACTTTCAAGGACTCTAAATATAGAACAATTTATTATTTAAACTGTGCTTTTGACATCACTTTTGCGTCTGCAATTTAGGCCGTGAGTTAAACGGGCTCGTGTGAGTGTGGTCGAAAAAAGCACTGGCTGCTCACACAAGACAGGATCAGGACAGATCAGCTGACCACAGGTTGACCTACATGCTGTTCTGTCATAAGGCTATTCTGTGCAGGCTTTTGTGTGTGTGTGTGTGTGTGTGGGCGCAGTTTGCACAAGCATACTATGATTTATTGGCTTGTTGCTGGGCTGTGTAGGTCACAGTAACAGCTTAGGTTAAGGTCATGGTTTGGTCTTTAAGGTTAGTCGTTTCAAGAGTCAAGTTTGGGGATGAAGGGGTGTTTAAATCGGGGTTATTTTGAGGGGACTGTGGGCTGTAGGTTTGAAATTTGGTGCTTCTCTAGTTCTTCAAAAGATAGAAATATAAACATATGCAAGTCTATCAGTCTGTATTCAGTTTTTGTTTTTTTTGCATGACAAACCCATTCAAATGAACTAATTAACACACAAAAGTGTCCATCTTTCTACTTGGTGTCAAGCCCGTGTGTGTCCTGGTGTCTTCTCAGCATCATGCATTCAACAACTTTCCCCACCTAAGGAGCACATATCCATGTTGGTGTTTAAGAGTGCCAGTGTGTTTGAGCGTTCGTGTTTCTATGTCAGGAGAAGATGACCCACTTTCCACTGTGGATTCTTTTTTTAAGTTGTTGACCTGTGCTTGGGGCCAGAGCCTGTCTGCCTGTCCACTCATTAGGAGAGAGAAGAGGAGGAGGAGGGGGAGGAGGAGGAGGAGTGTAGTCATGGAAGGACAATGCAGTTAGATAAGCGCACGGACACATTTGCTTCTTGGTTTTGAATCTTCCGGTGGTGTTTAAAACCATTTGATGCACCTCAAAATGTCTCATAACTGTAAATAAAAACTCCATTACATGGATGAGGAAAGGTTAGCCTGGCAATAAAAGAGACACGATGCTGCAGGGCTGTTCAATCAGTGTTCAATCTAACCTTAAAAACTGACAACTTAATTAGCAGAGGGTTCGTGTGAACAATAACACGATTGTCTTTTGACCTATGTGGGAAACACTAGAACACAATACGACTTCCAGTTAGCTGTTACGGAGCCGCAGCGCTTCCTGTTCGGCTGAGCCGGGTTGCTAAGTGCTAAAACCGTCTGCATCCTCAAAAAACCTCACACACGGCCACATGCAGCAGCTTTCTACTTCCTCTTTCTGTCTCTGGCTCTAAAGCTTTGTTTGTACGCCACACACACCTCCTGAGCACTTCCCATCAGGCTGTTTAGTGACTCATTCATGACATTTGACTTTGAACTGCGCGTGCACGGTTTGTTTTTTGCAGCTCATTTCTGCTTTTATTTTTCTGTGAATCATTGCCATGCCGGGCCTCCCCCTTTCCTGCCACCAAAAAGCAAGTTGTGTTGCATTCGTTTTAGCTTGAAATCCTGAGAAAGGAATTTCAGGTTGGACAAACTGATGGCAGGTATTGATAGCAGCGAGGGTGGAGCAAACAGTAAACCCACCCCCACCCCAGGGCAAAACACACCATTCAGGATGCCGTTCAGGAAACACTGAAATTCTTCAGCCTTGTTAATCACTTCAATTTGCATTCAATGTTCCTGTTGAGGTGTTTTGACAACCCATGGCTGCCCGTCAAAAACTTCCTCCTCTCTCTAATTCACCTGTAAAAGGCCTGCAGCTGGAATGTCATCACTTTTTAATCACCTTCTTATCTATTATGAAACAGTAGCCCGGAGAAATCTCAGAATCCTTGATTGTGTTTTTCACCCTAATGATTTCATTGGAGGAACAACAAGAAGTGTGTGAGGTTAAAAGACATTATATTGGCTCATATTATATATATTATATTGTGAAAGTATGGAGACAAGGAGTGTGTCTGCTTATAATTAGGCGTGTGATATTTGCTAGTTCCCCTCCAGTGGTGGGGATCTGCACGTAGCTGATAAGAGCCGTTCATTCACAGCTTGCCGTTTCTCTGATGCTCGTTCTACTCGTGTGAGGAGCTTTGCCGTATACTTCACAAAGCGCAGACACTGACTTGTGTTTGTTTACTCACCCACACACACCTCAGTTGCCATATTTACTTTCCTTTTTTTTTTTTTTTTTTTTTTTCTGTTTTTCTTCGTGTGCTTGTGTCTACATACCTGTGTACCAATGTGTGTTTACATGCCTTACATGAGTGCAAATGTGCATATTTACTGTGTGACTCAGATGTGGATATTAGGTGTGTGTTATCGTGGGATCGTTGTGAAGCTTCTCCGATACAGATGTTGAAGGTCGTGACTCCAGGCTTTGTTCTGTAAGCCGGACACGCAGACTCACAGAGCACATGAATAAAAAGATATACAGACCACCTGTGATTCATATTCCAGCACTGATGTAGGTCAAATCTAAGGGTCAATGCTGTAACCTCTGTCATAACAAATGTACCTAAAGCAAAGTGTAGTGCTGTGCGAGGGGTGTAGTCTGTTATGTCACAGAGTGCAAAATATACCAATTTAGCTAGAGCTGCAATGGCTGGGCAACGGACCCAGGGGGATTCGTTTTAATCATATGTATTTGTTTATTTCATTGAGAAATTATCAGGATGTAAGAGTTAAAAAAAACATTACAGCATAGCATTGGGAAATTCTGAAATGTACAGTAAAGAGGACCTCAGGGTACATGGGTAGAAAATGACCAGATAGTTTTTGATGCTCACAAGAAAACTGCCTGGTCCACACTGGACACTATTGTGCATTGACTGCTTTGAAAGACTCCAAGTAAGAATCTGCTGTTGTTAAATTATAGCGGCAACTTTCTTACTCCAGGTTACAAAGTACTTTACAGCAACAAGTATACAGAAGTATGTCATATATTTAAAAAAAAAACAAACAAGAAGAAAAGTAGTAATAGTTAAAAGTAACAGAAATTCACACACAGGGCGAGATATTCTCCATAAAGTGATCTAATACATAAAAAAACACACCCTCTCAGATGACTCTATGGCGCGGGGGGGGGGGGTTGCTTGTGCTCCGCATAGGAAATTGGTTAAGCAAAGATGGAGACATAATAATGCTATTTCAAATAAACTGAAAACATAATCATTTTAAATTCAATACATGCTGAAAGGTTTTCCTTTGGGGATAAAATTCGCATTTAGAAATATTACAAACTGCAATCAAACACATGCTTTGGAAACACTTTGCATATCAAATTAAGGACAAAGATTGTAGGAGTGTTGTGTATTCAATAAGGTGTTGTGATAATGATGTATCGTTAGGCCTCTGGTGATTCCAAAAAACAAAACAATCATTGTTCTCCAAAATACTTCTGTTTCTTTTTAAAACGTGGACATAAAGGAATCTTCAGCACAAAATGAGCTTTGCATAATAGTGCTCGTTCTTCTCAATCCCTGACTGCTTGTACAACAGCACACAAAGTGTGGAAATATGACTCATGAGAATGATCACTCCAAGCTGCTATAAATACGACTCTTCTAAAAGAGGTATGATTTTTTTTAAGCAAGTCTCCATCTAGCTGAGTTTAACTCAACTTTCGACCAACACAACAGCAAAAGATTCACTATTCTGCACCGGGCGTCCGACATATCGCACCTTCAGTCAGATCCAGCCTTCATTCTGCATCATGTTTGGTGTTCATGCTGATTTCAAATGACTCTGCCCCGTTTAAAAATGTGTAATTTGAACCCCACAGAAACCAGCACCTGCAGGAGATGTCAGAGTGACTCAGGTAGAGCTATACCCTCCCTTCTGGGCTGCAGCATCTCTCTTTTTTGGCTTGTGACCCACACATTTCCCGGGGAGGAGGGGACCTGCCCACTCCCTCCATCTCCACCTGTCCCCTGTCTAGCATCCTCTCATCCATCCATCCTCCCTCTCTTTTCAACGTCTGGTGCTCAGCCAGAGGTCACTGATGGAATTCTGTCAAACCGGCCCGACGAGGATACGGAAGTGCAAAATTAAGGGAAACTAATTTACAAAAAAAAAAAAAAACAGACCCCTCCCCCCCCTCCTCCCCCTCCAAAAAAGACACAATTCAAGTTCGAGAACAATTTCTGTGCTAAGTGCTAAGAGTTAGCTTCATTAAAGGCCCGGGTTTTGGTTGAGTGTGATTTCTAACACTAGCTGTCTCTCTGCAGGGCATGTTTGAGTTGTTCTGCCTCCAAGCTGTTGAGACTAAAGCCCATTTGATATGCTCTTCCCTCTGAAGAAGTTGGCTGAACAGAGAGGGGGCAGGATGGGGGATATCATTGACTGCTTAAATGGCTTCCATTACACTTCTGCAAAAAAGCATGACTTCTTTATTTTGCAGGATTTTATATCCCCTCCATATCGTCTTCTACATAATATTCTGTACCCACACAGCTAAGACATACCTGCCAGTGTTTTCCAGACTTCTGCATATTATGATATCTATTATAAATTGCTTTTTTTTTTTTTTCTATCATCCCACACATTGTCTCAGAAGGCTTCTGTGTCTAGTGCTGCAGTGTCCATGCTCAGAAAAGTGTAATTCTTCATGTAGTATTTTCTCTTTGTCTGTGTTTATATATTCCAATTTACAGTAAAGCTGCATGCGTGGTATTACATGTCTCAATCAAAAGCTGACGTGGAACGTGTAGGTGATCAAATGTTTGCTGAACAGCCAGGTTACGTGATCATTCAGATCCAGAAGTGACTCGGGGGATGTACGTCCAGGGCGGTGAGGAGCAGAGAAGCTCATGTAGCTACAAGAGAGAGATTTTGTTTCTCAGCTGTGCTCGACAGAAGTCTACGGTGCCGATCATTGCTCCTACTTCTTCTGTCTTCCAAATAAATGCGGTTGACAGTCACATCAAATGTCTCCTTTATGACGGATGGCTTGGACTCAGCAGCTAGAATGTAAACCTTAAACCCTTTATTTAAAGTTTCGACATATTCTGTGTTTGACAAGATTGATCAGTGTCTGCTCAGTGGGGCCTTCATACTGTCTGGCTTTCAGGTCAATTTAGTCATTTTTTATTGTTTTTTTATTATATGTTTTAAGACTGGAATTGATGTTTTTAACCTGGGAAACCAGTGTGTGTGGCTGTTTGTTTGTTTGTTTGTTTGAAGAACTCCCTCTGTTGTATGTTTCTCCTTTTTCCCTTCACTTCTGTGTACAAGATATACTGTGTATATATATATATATATATATATATATATATATATATACATAGTTATATGAGACCTTTATTATTCATAGTTTAAAAAACAGCACTAATCTATATAAGTGCAGCCACCTGTAAATGCCTTTCAAAAAGAAAAAAAATAATAATTTCAAGTAAATGATGAAATAAAAAAGTGCAGAGTAGAAAGTGTAACATTAGCGGAACCCAGCAGAATGACTTTATTCCCATACTACATTTGAAATCAGTTTTAAAACTTAGAGGGTAGTTGCAAAAAGTCGTTACAAATGTTTAATAGGATGTAAATATCATTAACCACACTGGATTACAGACACTCACATGTCCAGCTACTAGATTTGGTATCAGGAAGGTAAAAGAGGGACAGGAACATCATCTATTCTTCATCGTACAGTAGCTGTCATTCATCAAACCAATTGAGACACCAGTTGTTGTTTTTTTTTGTTTCTTTTTCTTTAAGTTACCACATCAGTCTCTTAATTCTTCATTTGAGGAAACCAAACACGCTGCTGCAGATGCTTTTGAAGAAAAAACCCATAGTGGCAGTATCAGCCGGTGTTTGGTAATAAACTTTCGCGAGCACATGTGATGTGGTCATGGTCTCTCTGTAATGTGCTTTCATGTTTCAAGTTAGCAGGGTGGTTAGCAATGTTTCATTCTACAGGATGCTTGTATGCAAAGCAGCAGTAGACACACCGAGGACGTTCTGCTTCACACTTCCAATCATGTCAGGTTTCTATCTGCAAAGCTGGGTCACCATTAGGCCCGCTAACTCTATTATTTTGGACTGCACACGTTTTAGAGCGTCTGAGAATCAGATCGTCAGCAATCTGTCTCGATTTAACCCGGCAAACGATACGCTCAAAGGCTTTTCAACCACACACAAATGCTTGCACACACGCGGCACTATCAGGGTTCAGAGTAATTAGCGTTGGGGTTTGCTTGTAAAAGAGGACTTGTACACCCACTCTGTCATTAGTTAATGGGCCTTGCAGCCTGTTACCAGGGCTTACTCCGGCTCCCTGCTGCTCCCAGAGGGGCTGAGGTGAGGTGAGAACGAGCCCGTGCTTCTGCTATCAGTCAGCCATACCACATTAAATACAGCCTGCGTTAGGAGGGCCCATATGTCTCGGGGCATTACTCACTTAGAAAGCTGCAGCTTCTAAGAAACTGAGCCGTTCGGAGAGGGTTCAGCAGAGTTCCCTGAGAAATAAGCTTATGTTCTGCTCTCTCTGCCGGCCGGGGACAGAGCAGACCAGTTGTTATGGAGAAGCCTCTCTGTGTCAAAGCCCATTAAAGAAAGTCCAAAATGAACTCTGTAGACCTCAGTCACCTGGAGCAGGAGACATCTATTTAAAGGGTTAAAATGCCTCCTTCACTCATGGATGGCTCTAGTTGTAGTTTAAAGGTATGACTAGTTAGTTTAGCCTCTGTAAACTCAATTACCGGATTTGTAATGGGCTGCAGCTTCTTCTTTTAAAGGTATGGAAACACTTCTTAAACGTCCCTGAAGAGAGTTGTCTTAGATGTGGTGGTGTGATTTTCATATTTAAATACACACAGCCACAACTGTTGTTATTAGGAAAGTAAAGAATACGACATGTAGTAAGTTGTTGTTCGGCTTTGCGACTTAAGTAGACATCTATGTTATGTTGTGTCATCGGGGCGGCAGTAGCTCGGTGTGTAGAGACTTGGGTTGGGATCTGGAGGGACGCCGGGTTCAAGTCCCGGTGCAGACGAAACCTAGAAATTGGTCTGAAAGCTGGAGAGTGTCAGTTCACTTCCTGTAGCATATGCGCGTCTCAAAGATTAAGCCGTTCAAGTCTAAGCACACACGGCCGGTACAGGTAACCTGCGAATGCCTCAATAAATCAGAATCGATCCGAGGTGCCATCGAGCGAGGCACTCACCCCCCACTAGAAGCGCTCACTGTGCGCAGCCCCCCCCCCCTTACTCTGACGTCTTGTGGCTGTTTGTGCATTTTGGTGTATATCAGCCTATATGTGTGTAGCATGTTTAACAACAGAGTGTAAAAATTCAATTTCCTCGTGCAGGATGAATGAGGTATTTCTTAACAGCTGTTCTGTTACTGTGCAAACTTGCAGCAGCTAAATTGTTCAGCGTGTGATAAGGTGCCTCCAGGCAACACTCCACATACGCCTTCTTTAACACGCTGTATGTACAATCTTTCTACCTTCTTACCCAACTGTAAACTGTCATGTCAACACATTATCAAATAACACTGACGTTCTGCAGAGCCGCTGCTTGATCCTCCAGATTATACAGTGTTTGGGCAAAGCTAGACAAGAATCACCATTAAACATTCAAACTGCATGCAGACAGACAGAGACGGAAGGGGGAATAAAAACCCCATCCAGTCTTCCCTCTCTCTCTCTCTCTCTCTCTTTCTTTCTCTATCTGTGTGAGGAGAAAATCTAGCACCGCTTCCCCCCCCTCCTCTAACCGAGCTACATCTTTGATCTCGCCTGCTGTAGAATTTGCTCAACATGTTAGCAAAGTTATTATCTGATGGAGTCGTGAATCGATCGTGTGATTGTAGCACTCAGAAGTTGTTTTCAAGTTAGCATCGCGTCGCTCACGCACTTTTTATTTTATTTTATTTCATTTTATTCAATCTGTGACATTTTAGTTTGCTTTATGTGAGCTTTTCTACAACTGTGGAAGCCAACTTTAGACTCAGTGAGGCTCTAAAAAAAAAAAAGTTGGTCTTGGCTCTTCTCCACCACCAGGTAGCTGTAAATGACTTCACTACAATGCTTAAGTGCTCATAAAATTCAGTGAATGGCAGGGTTAACAATGACAAGCAGGAGACTTTGGCTTCCTCTGTGCGCTTGGCATCTGATCCTCTCGCTCTCTATTAGCAAAGTAAGCAAAACACTTAAATTACATTTAGCAACATTTTAGAGAGGCGGGTCATAACAGGACTACGGGATTATTATCAGAAAATGACTGAGAGGACTGTGGGTGTATGCAGCGTGTCTGATATGAGACAGGCATTTGAAGCAGTGTTGGGGTGGGGGGGTGGGGTGGAGAGGAGTGTGGTAGTCGTAGTTGTGGGCATGTGCTGGTGTTGGCAGCTGCTTTAACACAGGGGGACTGCGAGGTGGAAACAAGGTCATGCACACTGACTTTACTAAGCTTGCTAAACATGAACATTGCCCTGAGCAGACGCCGCTGTATTATGAATGACTTCTGGCCTTGGCCGTGTAAGATTTGGACGCTCGTAGCAAGTCCCCCACCACTTTCTCTCTCTCTCTCTCTCTCTCTCTCTGTCCCTCTCAGAGATACTCCATCACTTGTGCTCACTCAGAGCTGATCTTTAGGTCTAAATGGTGGGTTGCCAGTTGAAGAGACAGTCCCTGGGTGTGGAGGTGGTGATTTAGTGGGGAGATAAGCTCTCTGTAATGGCAGGGTGGAATAATTCCCCTTTAACTAGGAGGCTTGGCTCTCTCCACCCCTCCAGAATAAAACGTTCCACTTCGTCCCCTTCTGTTCTTCGTGTGTCTACTCCTTCTTGAAGCCACTCGTCAGATCAGATATGAATGGATCAGAGCATTTAATGCACGATTTCAACGAGTTACTGATGGTGCATTCAGTTTCTGTTATAAATACTGTTTTAAAATTCACAAGGCATTTTGATTGACATTTTTTGGGGTCTGTGTGCTTGTAAATCTTCTCAACGCAATGCCAATTCCAGGGTGACAGACCGTTAAAACATCCCACGTGCATATTTTAAATAAATTCCACATCTTAAAAACCCCAAACCTAGTAACAGCTCTTCCTAAAAGCTGGTGTATCTGGGTCTACACGGCTAAAAATAGCCTGTTAAATTATTAAATTAGGCCCCCCCGAACACCGTAATCTTTCCTTTTGTTTGTTTGTCATGCCGACTTCCTAAAATCAAAAACAAGCAGTGTGTTCCAACGAGCCGAAAAAACTGATTGATTCAAAATAGACAAGTTGATTGGCATTGGGGAAAAAATAGAATAAAGATCGGTAATTCATTGGCAGCTAGGCAAAGAAATATCTCTACTCTGTGTTTCCTGAAGAGGATGAGACGCCTGTACTGTGTAATTAGTCCTCGTAGATATGAGGGGACACAGGGAAGATGAGGAGTGAAGAAAGTGGAGGAGAGTGAAGAGATCACAGTTTCTTATTTCCTGCGTGGATCATATCTGTTACCCTCGATCACTCCGTCTCCGTCTGCCTCTCACGCTCCCTTTCAGCCTCTCCCTCGCTGAGGCAGACAGAAAATCTTGGAGGTCCTTTTGTGCTTGTGGATGGATTTCAGTTTATATTTTACACTGCAGGTAGAGATGATGTGATGTAACTGTTGTGAAATCCACACAGCCGAATAATCGATCGGGTTTATTGAGTTAGGCTGCCCCCTGGAGGCTCAAGCAATAACTTCAGACTGAAAACAGGCATGTGATTCACTGTCGGGAGACCTGAGCAGATAAATCTATTCATTTGATTTGTTACAAGTGATGTTAGAAACAAGAAGAATCCAGCAGTTTTCTTTTGTGATCATACACGTAAAGCCTCAAACATACGCTTCCATGTAACAATGTGCAGATCCATCTCCATGCAGGCAAATATTTGTGTGTGTTTGTGTGTGTTAGTGTGTGTGTGTGTTTGTGAGCCGATGGGAAGCTAAACAGATGCTAATGTGTGTGTGTGTGTCTGTGTTTTCCTCGCAGCCCTGCTGTCGTCGTGGTGCGAGGAGCTGGGTCGTCTCCTCCTGCTGCGTCACCAGAAGAACCGGCAGAACGAACCGCAGGGAAAAGTCCCCATGCAGCCCAGCATGAACAGCATGAAGCCTGGCCTCACACACAGGTCAGTGGGGAGTCTCTGAAACACCTGCTGACAGATGACTTCAGACGCTGCTAATCATTCAGTAAAACCACATTCCCAATTAGGTTCAAGGTTACTGTTTTTTTTGGGGGGGTTTTTTATCCCGCCAATTAAACGGTGCTTTCATCCCAGGGTCATAAAGTACCCTACAAGTACAGCATTACATTGTTTTAATTCTTTTTATATATGAATCAAATATCAGGCCAAACTTACAGCTGTGCCCCGTACATAAGGTCAAAGAAGGACATTTTAATTCAAGCAGTGATAGAAACTTAAACACTGCCTATTTCCAGTTGTAAACCTGACTTAGAGGCATCGCTACATAAACAAAGTGAACAGACACATTTCTCATTGTTCTTTACAGTTAACAACACATTTGCTTAATTAAGATGAGCTTGCCTTTGCTGTAATGTTAAAAGGTATTCTTTTCTCTACGTTTGATTCTCTGCGATCACACTTTTTTTTTTTTTTACTCTTTGAATTACAACAAAATGCCAAGTATGCACTGGTCCAACTAATTCATTTCTAAGGATGCGTTCCATTTACCTCGGATTTGGAGCTGGAAAGCCCGGTTAGCTTCCCTCCTTCACCAGCGTCCGGGCTTTAGATGTCAATCAATCATTTTTTGTACAGCGCCAAATTCATAACAAAGACTTGAGACACTTTACAAAGATCAGGTAAAAGACCTTACTCATCGCTATGTCACAAAGACCCAACGTTAATCCATTATGAGCAAAGCACTAAGCAGCGTTTAGCAAAGTTACAGTGGGCTGATACCCGAGCCGCCATCTGATACCAGTGCTTCATTAAGAAGCTGTATAAACTGGGGTGCTCCTGTTCTTTAAGGCAACATCAGGCTTTACTTAAACATGGCTTTCCCAACTCTTGTCAAACAATAGCTGTGCAGATATTGTGATTAGCTGGAGAAAGAAGTGTGGAATACCTTCAGAGAGTTTACACTTTTTTCCCCTCCTTGAGAACAGTCCAGCTCCCTCCTTCTTCCTTCAGGGAAAATGGCTACCCAACATGCTGTTGACCAGTTGGTACGCAAAACTAGATGTAAACGTGTGGGGTGTGGGGGGGGGGATCAGCCAGGATTGGCCCTTTAGTTACCTTTGCATGTTTTGAATTTCTTGATTTGTGTATACTGTGAGAAATAACATGATAACAGGTGACTTAAACCACAACAGATGTAGGTGTCAGGGAAGAAGAGAGAGAAGTATTATGTCCCATGTCTCTTCTTGTATCTACATTTGAATATGTATTACACAAGCTGATTCATTAATGCCTTAAATAAAACCATGAAAATGAGCCTTTTTACACAGACGCAGGGGACTTCCATTGTTTGAATAAGAGCCAGAATTACTTGGAGTCGAGCTGAGGTGATTTAGGGTGGAGAGGAGGAAGAGAGCTGTGAAGTAATGTTTTTGCAGAACATAGTGTGCTCATTCCTCTCTCTCTCTCTCTCTCCCTGTCGCTCTCTCTCTCTCCTTCTCTCTAAAAACCCGGAGCTTGTGAAGAAGAGTCCTGTTTGGCTCTGCGCAGGATCTTGAGATAATGTTTTTCCTTTATGAGGAAATATTGAACACGTCGTCCATTCCAAGAGCTAACCTCTGAGCGAAAACAAACTGCTCTCCAAAAACAGCAAATCCTTCCCGTTGCACCGGCCACTTGCGTCTCCCCATGAGGATTAAGCTTGTTTATAATATGTAACCAACCCTCATATTTTCAGTTGATATTTGTTTTCAATCTAAATGCTAAACATTCCAACTGCACTCCACCAATTCCTCTCCAAAGGCTTTTCAGCAACTCAAATAGATAATTGAATCATATTTTGTTTTTACTGGTGTGTGTGTGTGTGTGTGTTTGGACATGGAAGTCCTCATCGGCCCATTTGGAGCTTTTAACTCCAGCTTTCTGTGAAGCAGATAGGCTGGCTGAAAACATGTTTTGAAACCGACTGCCAGACTTTTCAAATTGCCTCACATTTTGGCAAGAAGAATTCCCAAATTATTCACATTTCTGGATGAATGTACAGCTCTGTTGGCTTTTTTTTCTTGGCTCTTTTCTTGGCCGCTTGAATCTTCGTGCGACATCAGTGCTCATGATTTTTGTTTTCATCTCCTTTCCAGTGATGGATCCTTTCCCTATGACTCTGTCCCCTGGCAACAAAACACCAACCAGCCCCCTGGGTCATTGTCTGTGGTTACAACAGTGTGGGGCGTGACCAATACATCACAGAGTCAGGTATGTCCCTGCATGTACAGCAGCCAGGCTGTAACTTCAAACACAATCAGCTCTTTATTTGTTTGTTTGAAAAACCTAATGGCGTTTCTTTTTTTCTTTCTTCCCGCATCATCATTTTTCATTTATAGGTGCTAGGTAACCCAATGGCAAACAGCAATAACCCCATGAATCCTGGAGGTAACCCAATGGGATCAGGTATGTCTGCCAGCGCAGCAGGGCTCAACTCGTCTCAGTTCAACGCTCAGCAGCAACAGTTTCCAAACAAAGGCGGCTCCAACCAGGGGTACATGCAGCAGGGCATGTACGGCAGGCCTGGCTACCCTGGAGGTCCTGGGGGATACAGCGGGAGGTAAGAGACTGGATACGACTCTCTTAATAAAATCAAGCTATGAAAATTCCCCATAATGATTAAAACATGGGAATCTTTTTTTTTTCAGTTATTCTGGAGGGCCAAACGCTCCTCCAGGAGGAATGGGAATGACCTCCCACACACGTCCTCCTGGTGACTTCACACAGCCAGCAGCCGCAGCAGCAGCCGCCGCCGTCGCTGCCGCAGCTGCTACTGCAACAGCCACAGCGACGGCCACCGTGGCAGCCCTGCAGGAAACGCAGAATAAAGACATGAACCAGTATGGACAGGTACAGTTTGCACCTTGCAACAGATGATTCAGCTCAACTTTAAAATACAAATATATGTTATCCAAGCGCCTTGGCTAGATATCCAAAATAACCCAAATGAAAACATCTGTTTTGCCTCCAGATGTGTTCGTCGTTCCAAATGGGCCCCACTCAGGCCTACAACAGCCAGTTCATGAACCAGCCAGGCCCTCGAGGGCCCCCTGGAGGGATGAATCCAGCCAGCATGGGATCAGCCATGAACAACCCTAACATGAGTGGACCTCCCATGGGCATGAACCAGGCTCGGACCCCAGGCATGGGGCCTTTTGGAGCGCACGGCCAGAGGATGCCCCAGCAAGGGTACCCAGGTGGACCTCGACCGGGAATACCCTTGCAGGGGATAAAGAGGTCATATCCCGGGGAGGTGAGTGGAGATGTGCTATAATTAAAACAATCTGGGCTCTATTTTCCTTTGGCAAAGAATTTTATTTTTTAAAATCTGAGACTGTTTTCCTGGAACTAAACAAGCATGATTGCACCCAGGTGGGACGAGGGGAGCAGCCAAGACTGTTTTGGTGCTTTATTTTGGCAGAGATGCACTCACATTACCTCTAAAATAACACTTCACACGGTACCTCACATATATGATATGAAGTGTCCCTCGTTCATTTCACACATTTATTATATCCTACAGATTAATAAGAGCATCAAATAACATTATATTGGTGTCTGAAGAAGAATGTTAGCAATAATAAAAATGCACATCAGCCACACTTCCACACCTCATTCTCTGTTTGTTGGGTGACTTTCTTAAAACAACATGTACAACGTCTCATCTGCAGTGTGATAAACACCTGTAGGCCTCACACAGCAGCAGGACTTACACACGTGTTTCATTCTGTTTGAAGAGAGAGAGAGAGAGAGAGAGAGAGAGAGAGAGAGAGAGAGAGAGAGAGGGAGGGCAATAATGCCATTAATAATTAAAATCTCCTGACATGGTGACAGTATTGGTTAGGATCTAACAGGATTAAATGCATTGTGATTTTCTGAGCACTACGCTGGCAAGCTGTTGCTCCAAGTTTAATTGTAAAATCATCTGGAGTGACGTGGCCAATCCACAGACATTCTGATCAAAGGCCCAAGTTTCAACTTGAGAAGCCAGACACATTTAGAGATATTTACAGTTATGGCTATTATGCATTAAAGCATAAAGCAGACCTTTTCCCCACCTCTTACTTATCATGTATTTGGTTTCCCTTCCCAATGATTCTGTTTTTTTTTTTTTTTATCTATCTGTGTCTGCGGCTGAGAAGTTGAATGTGTTTCACCTTGTTTCTTGGAAAGTAGAGCCCCATGCCTCATAAAGCACTTAAACATGTGTTTAATGTCTTCTCCTTTCACTTGCTTCGTCCAGGGGAGTTACGGTGGCCAGCAGTACGGGCCAGCCAGTCAGTTCCCACCTCAGCAGGGCCAGTACCCCGCGTCAAATGCCTCCAGGCCGCTGCCGTCTCCTAATTACCCCGGCCAGAGGATGCCAGGACAGCCGGGCCAAGGACAATACCCACCCGGCATGCCCATGGGCCAGTACTACAAGGTCTGTAATAACACACTTCTCAATATCCTACTCAGTGGAGCATGTCCCAATCTCCACTGTGAAATATGTGTAAAATACGTTTTGCTTTAAAAAAAAAGCCACTATAAAATTATTTCTTCATTTTTTTTTTACAGCAAGAGCCATTCAATGGTCAGAGCACCAACTTCTCTGGAGGTGGATACTCTTACGGCCAAGGCAACGGGGTATGTTTTCATCGAGATTTGACCCTGTCCTGTGTTCGAATAAAGACTGACACAGATGTTTTCATTATTGCAATTTCCTGCCTTTAACAGCCCCCCAGGCCCGGGAATTACCCCCACTCCCCGGTCCCCGGAAACCCCACCCCCCCTATGACCCCAGGAAGTGGAATTCCTCCATACCTGTCGCCAAACCAGGACGTGAAGCCCCCGTTTCCACCTGACATGAAACCAAATATGACAGCACTTCCGCCGCCCCCAAGTGAGCACCGCAGCAGTCCTGAAACAAGCGGTTCATATTTAACAATAATGTAATGTACATGTTAAACAAACTCCTCTATCCTTCCAGCGAACCCCAATGAGGAGCTGCGGCTGACTTTCCCAGTGAGGGATGGGGTGGTACTAGAGCCGTTCCGCTTGGAGCACAACCTGGCTGTCAGTAACCACGTCTTCCACCTTCGACCCTCCGTCCACCAGACTCTCATGTGGAGGTACGACCACAGACAAAGCTTGCACTTCCAATCATTACAGTGAGAGATTTGGATTGTATTATCAAAGGATCGTTTTCTCGTTCATGTTTTGTTGTTTCCTGTTCGCTTTTTTTGCTGACCTCGTCGTCCTGTTCCTCGCACAGGTCCGACCTTGAGCTGCAGTTTAAGTGTTACCATCACGAAGACAGGCAGATGAACACCAACTGGCCCGCCTCCGTCCAGGTCAGCGTCAACGCCACGCCCCTCACCATCGAGAGGGGAGACAACAAAACCTCCCACAAACCCCTGCACCTGAAGCACGTATGCCAACCCGGGAGAAACACCATCCAGATTACAGTCACGGCGTGCTGCTGTGTGAGTTAACACTACCAGTCTATTTTATTCATCTTCAAACAGCATAGCAATGTCAACGTAAATCAGTGATTCAACAGAAAGCTGGAAAGATGATCACACAGCTGAAGGAGTATATGCATTGTGCATGCTTCACACTGTGTTTTGATTTTCAGTTTGCTTCATGTTCTCGTGTTGCTTCGCAGTCCCACCTGTTTGTGCTGCAGCTGGTCCACCGGCCATCTGTGCGCTCCGTCCTCCAGGGGCTCCTTAAGAAGAGACTCCTTCCTGCAGAACACTGCATCACCAAGGGTATACCTCATTTTGTCTCTTAGTGTTGTTAATATGTAAAAGTACATCTTAATTACACAAGCTTGCATCTGTTTCTCCTTCTGCTTCTCTTTTAGATAACTCTAAAAGTACACCTTTTAACTTACTAAAACCGTTTCTCTGGTTTTTGTTTTAGTTAAGAGGAACTTCAGCAGCGTTGCCGCGTCCGCAGGCAACACCACTCTAAACGGGGAAGACGGCGTGGAGCAGACGGCCATTAAAGTGTCGCTGAAATGTCCCATTACCTTCCGACGGATCCAGCTACCTGCACGGGGGCACGACTGCAAACATGTCCAGGTTGGTTTGAATTAAAAGAGGCGATTAAACGCTATCATTCATGGACACTTGTGCGGCTTTGAATATGGAAACACGATTCTAATCATTTCTGATGTTGTTCTCCACAGTGCTTTGATCTAGAGTCCTACTTGCAGCTCAACTGTGAGAGGGGGACATGGAGGTGTCCTGTGTGCAAGTAAGTCAAAGTGGCTGCTTACTGGGGAAGTTCACTAATTACAAATACCTTGAACTGTTTTGAGCTAATGTTTCTTTTCCTCCTTTCAGTAAAACAGCGTTATTAGAAGGTCTGGAGGTGGACCAGTACATGTGGGGAATCCTCAATGCAATCCAAAAGTGAGTTTCTTCTCTTCTACCAAATCCTCCCATAGTGTTGTCTAAGCCGCATCCTGAACTTTGTTCTTATTCCTTTTATAGTTCAGAGTTTGAGGAGGTCACTATAGACCCGACGTGCAGCTGGCGACCGGTCCCCATTAAGTCGGAGCTACACATCAAAGAGGACCCTGACGGACCGATTGCCAAGCGCTTTAAGACTATGAGTCCCAGTCAGATGACCATGCCCAATGTGATGGAGATGATTGCCCAGCTGGGGCCCGGGCCTGGTCCAGGGCCAGGACCTGGACCTGGCCAAGGTCCCAGCCCTTACCCTCCCCACCCTGGTCAACATGCAAGTGGCAACGGGGGAGATTACCCAGGAGCAGGTAAAGAACGGCAGCCAGACTAACACAAGAGTCAGCTCATTCTTTGCCATTTGGGAAATAATGTTTTCATATTTAAGCGAGAACCAAGGATGTGTCTCTAGAGCATTCACACAAAAAAACAGCCCTGAGGAGAGTTTTGTGCTGAAGTCGGCGTGAAATGTTTTGAGCGCATTACTCCGATAACACAAAAAAGCAAAACTGAATTGCTCTGAAAACACTTTGAAAAGATAACATTGTGCAGCGATAACACAGACTGCATGTGAGAAGTGTTGGGTTCCAAAAGGGAAGCAAATGCAGATGTGCCTGTGGCCTGCACTTTGTAACGTGTAATGGCCAGCAGGGGGCGACTCAATTTGTTGAAAAAAAGAAATCTGTGTTTGAAAACAGACATGAACGATACCTTACTTTTCCATTGACTTTAATATGTCAGTAGATATTTTCCTAACCACTTTCATTATCACATTTGCTCGTTTTAAGCCTTCTTCAAAACAGAATTTAATTCATAAATAACTGATCCATACAAAGTAAAATAGATGATTCAGAAGGGTATACTTACAAGTCATAACCTAAGCAACCTGTTAACCAGGATCGAGACAAAGCAATGTATCCACCCTGAAAATACATGATGCAACACCTTCAAACAAGATAACATGATGTAATGACTCATCCCTCTTCAAACACTGTGTGAGTTTTTTATTCAGTGTCTGAACAGTAGGGACTCTTTGTATTCATATTTTGATTAAAAATCCAATCCATGCTTTTGTCACTCCAGGCAACAGTTACCACAGCCAGGGGAACTTTGACTTCCCTCATGTGAACCCCTCTGGTGGGGGAGTTGGAGGAGGCGGTGGTGGAGGAGGTCCCCCTTTGAATGACTTCATCCATGGCCCCCCAGCTCTCCCACCCCCCAGATGGACCTGGCGGACTCCTCTCGCAGGACAAGCCTCTAAGCCACGGCATGAGCGATGTGGTAAGTAGGGGGGGGGGGGCTGATTTCTTATTCCACTCAGTGACGGCAATAAAAACATGTTTTTGGAAAAAGCACATTACTAAACAATACAGTTTGATGTGGCTTCGTGGGTTTTGTGGTCTCGTTTATCCACTGCTAAGTGAATTTGTCGTGTATCATAAATTGGTACCTTAGTTTGAAGATGAAAATCTGCTGACAATCTGTGCAATAGTTTAAGAGATGTGTTATCAGAACAAGGTGCAGCCTGCGCCTCCAGCCAGCATGTGTGCTCAGTCATGCTCACATGCTCATGTCACCGTATTATGTTGCAGCTGTACATGTCTGCCGATCACAGCTTCCAGTTATAAGGCCTGTTCCATATTATTCACGCTGGAACTCATTCTGCTTTCCCTCTCTTTCTTCCCTCAACCCCCCCCCCCTCCCCCCCCTTTCTCCCCTCCACCTCACATAACACTTCACTTTCTGTCTCTGTCACTCTGTCTTCTTAATTCTTCCCTCTCCACCACTCTCGCTTTCTCCGTCTCCCTCTCACACCTGCAGATGTCCCATTCCGAACAGTCCCATAACTCCATGCAGCAGATCTTGCATGTGTCTCCCCACCCCCGCAGCCAATCGGGGCCGCCCTTACATCACACTGGCCAGTCAGGGCAGCCCTTGCATCACAGCGGCCAATCATCGCAGCCACCTCGCCAGTCGCAGTCTCAGCAGCAGCCGGGGCAGAACAATCACCCCCACGGCGATCTGAGCTTTAACCCCACCTCGGAACAGATGGGTCAGGGCGCCCAGGACATGCCCGAACCCTCGCTGGATGTAAGTGTCCCTGCTTTTGGGCACTATAAGCTTCCTGTTAACAGCTTTTTGTCTGCTGCAGCTTCTCTCATCTCTTTGCTGTGTGCTCTGTGTTGTGACGCTAAAATTGCTTCCAGACAGTGCTAGCTGTGTTAAATCAAAGTCATCAATGGTCAAAAAGAGGAATCTCATTCGAAATTGTCTTTTTTCTTCTGCCTTTCGTTCCACAGTTGCTTCCAGAACTGGCCAACCCAGACGAGTTACTGTCATACCTGGACCCCCCCGACCTCCCCGCCAACAGCAACGACGACCTTCTCTCCCTGTTCGAGAACAACTAGCTCTTCACTCCCCCTTTCAAAATGACACCCTCCTGCACCTATAGGAGTCGGGATTTTTTATGACTGTCCGTCCACAGACACGTTACCGACCTCCTGTTCAAGCTGCTTCCTGTGATCACTCATACACACGCACACACACACACACACACACACACACACACACACAATCCTTCAAAAGATAGCGTGTGGCATAGGAGTAGACTGAAAAAAAAAAAGAGGCACCTGTTTGGGAACTCCAATGGGAGAGAGCAGGATCGCCGGCTCACTCCTCTTTTTTTTCTTTTTTTTTTTCCTCATGTAAAGATTCCACGCACCAGTTCCACCGCCTGACTCGAACACAACTTTTACAGCCATGTTGGCGGACACTAGAGTGAAATTATATCAATACATATACGATATTTGTGACTCTTCAACTGAAAACTGTGCAGCTATAATCATCATGTATAAACAACATGGAGGAGAGTGTTGTAGCTGTGTTTGTTTTTTTTTTCATTATACTTTTCCTTTTTGTTTTTTTTTGTGTGAAAAAAATGTCTTGTTTAAGTGTTTTTTATTTTTTTTCAAATGTGTTCTTCCAAAACTTTGGCACATGCCGATGACCCCCAAGACTTGTCAGTGTGTGTGCGTGTGTGTGTGTGTGTGTGTGTGTGACAGCTGAATAACTGGAACCTATCAGAATCAGAGCACTGAAAGGACGAGCTAAGATGTCCTCCGGTGTCAACAGAGGAAATGAGTGAACATTGTGCAATGTAGTGTGTGTGTGTGTGAGTGTGTCAGACTGTGTGTATACCCATGGGTGTGTATGTTTATGTTTATGCGTCCTCTTTTGTTTGCCTGCAAGGGTGTGTGAAAGACAGACTAGCGAGAGTGAGCGAGTTTTGGAAGGAATGAAAGAGAAATCAGTCCACCTCAGAAGCTCTCCAGCTCCTCTCCTCCAGCCTCTCTGTGGTCGTCGTTTTCATTTTGTTTGTATTTATTGTGATGTTTTCGCTCTTCCTCATTGAATTCAGCACCGTTTTCGTTCACAAGTGCATGTGTGCCAATGGCTCCTATTGTCTTTGTCCAGCCTAAACATGCTTGATCAAATTTGTTCTCTCTGTCTTTATATTTATTATTTTATTTCAATTTCATGATTTTTTTTTGTTTGTTTTTTTGTAATCATTGTGTGTTTTTTGTCCTTTTTTATGTGTTTTATCTTTGTCCTACATTGAAATTAATCAGACACCCATCACCAAAGTTGTCCCAAGGCTTTTTTTGTAAAAGGTGTTGGGCCGCCTGGATATTAAATCGGTTGTAAGGGCAGGATTTGAACATCCTACAGACGTCAGCAGAACTTTTTAAATCACTGTATTTTATACAAACGTCTGTGTGATTGTACTGATCTTTCCTGTTGGCGTTTTGTTGCTGTTGACCTGCATCTTTTTTGGGGGGCAAAAAACATCGTGCATGATCCAACAGTGTTTCCAGAGCTGTTGTATATACCCTTTGTGAATACTTTGTGACTGTACAGTACTGTACCTATCTATTTCTGGCATCTACATGGTACTGTATGTCTGTCAAAGACCTCACACACAGAATCCCCCAATAACCAGTCCGATATTGTAACTCATTGATCTAAATGCACTTTTCACTGGCCTTGTATCGAGTACCTGTGTGCTGTGTATAGTTTATGACAATGACAATGCATCAGTGAAAGGGATTATTTCAACCGCTCAGCAGGCACGTTTTCAGAGTTCTTTATTTTTTGATAAACTAATTGGTCAGCTTTAAATTAGCTGGGGGGTTTTTTCCACTGTCTAAATGATTGTCAAAGCAGCATCGAGGTCCAAATATCCCCCAAAAATGTTTTCGCCTAAAGTCATTGGAACAGGTGACCTCGTCCTTTTTATTTAAAGTGAGAATGTGCAAAACATCCTTTGAATTGTGTTGAGCCCGGATAATGAGCTTTTGATACTTTGCAAAACAAATATGTGAACATTATTTGAGTATTTTTATTTTGTAAAAAAAAAAAAAAAAAAAAGGCTTTTTATATGATTTTAAACTATTGTTCATCCTGTGTTTTTACAACAGGTATCATTTGGTTTACACAGTTTCATGCAGTACAGTCAGCAGATTTTAAATATACTGTAAGATGTCGGATACAATCCCCCCCCCCAGTACAGATTTGTTATTTGTTTGAAGAACCAAATATGGATTTCAGAATTGATCAATTCACCTGCGTGTAACACAGCTGGAGGATCCGATTGTTTTGTGTCTGTTGTTCATGTGTTTGTTCAAGACAATGCACTGCCGCATTGGGATGTTTTATTCCCCTTCACAGTTCCAGTACGTAACTGTAAGCTTTCACAAAATCACGTCTAGTCATTTGCGCGACACAAATTGTACTGTCTGATTGCAGACTTTGGAAATGGAGGATTTAAAAGAGAATGAAATTAATGTTGTAAAATTAAATTTTTTGGGGGGGAGGGGGGGAGAGACCTTCCTGTTTGCAATGCAAGTGGGAGGTTGTGGCTGAGGGTCTGGGTTGGGGTGTGGAATGCAAGGGGATACGTGTATATAATGTAAATGACAAATAGAGACACGTTAACAGAAATGTATTCATTTTCTCCAGGAGGAGTGTGCATAGTGTATTTAGAATTTGTAAAGCTTCCATCCTCCTGTCAGACATTGAATTGGCAAAAAGAGTCTTTGTTCGATTGCGTCTGTGCAGACCTCTCTAACCACGCCTGTTCATTTATGTAAGATACTTTATATACCCCTCCACGTGGGGTATCCGAGAAAAAAAGACATTTTTTTTCCTTTGTGTAATATTAAACTTCTGTGTATTTCTCTATTACCTGTGTACTTTATAAAGGTGCTACAAAATGATGGAAGCCTTTTGAGGTATAATTGGGACTTGGAGACGTGGAGCTTTGAGTGGCTCTGAAGAGTTGTTTCCAAATTTACAGTTTGTAAAAAAGAGTTTTGTCAAATTTACAATTTTTATGCGATTTGGCAAAAAAGAGAAGAAAAAAAAAAAGCTATAAAGGTACAATCAGAAGTGATTGGCACAACAAGTGGCAGTTGTCTCTTTGGTTTTGTACATTCTATGTACAATCATTTCATATTCTAAACTGGTCAGAAAAACATTGTGATTTTTAGTCTTGCAAATCTGTATGTAGTTAGATGACGTGACATCCTAATATTTATCTAATAAATATGTATTCAGATGAAACACAAGTAATGGCCTCTGTGTCTTTTGACATACAAAGTACAAGCATCGATTATTAAACCATGTCATATTCACCAACAAAATGAAAGGGACTACTCTAGTGCAACACAATTTAATACTATTACAGACTGGAATACCAAAAAATAATCAAAAGGCCTTTCAAACTAGGACATTGTCAGATTTCATCTCATGGAAGGATCAGGTGTCAATGACTAAAGTTATACTGGCTTGTATCTATTTGACTGTTTTAGTTTCCGCACCCTGTGTTGTGCATTCTGGCTTTGTTAAAGTTATAAATAACACCTCTGCCGTGAAAAAAGGCCCACTTTAGTAAGTAATTCATTAATAGGTAAATTGTGTCATAAATCAAAAAAAAACATGTTGTCTCTTATACTATATTCGAAATCAACTCTGAAAAGTAAACTAATTTGATGTACGAGGGTATTTTTCTCAATTAACCAGCGAGTCACAGATTGGAGCGTGAAAAAATAAGTTGTGGGTCTTTGAGCAAAAGATTCAAGACTCGTCCAAGACGTGCTAAGTTTTCCAAACAAACAAAACATGTAAACTAAATACTCAGTGGCTCAATCATCAGTTCAGTGACATAATACTTACAGCAATAAGTACGTTTTCTCTTGATTATAACAACAACAACAAAAAGATCATATTTGCAGAACTGTATATAGTTTAGTTATGAACAATGATATTCATTAAATATTCATATTTTATTGAATAGAGGAGCGATCTTTGAGGTGCAAAAAAAACACACAGGTGATGTAACCTGATGGTTCATAAGAGAAGATCATGAATGTTTATTCCATTGTTTAGCTAAAGGAGGTTTTCATCTGATCCAACACCATAGTCTACTCTCAGAGTGATACACACATACAGAAGAGAGAGGAGACAGACACACTGCATGAAATGTACCTGAAAAGAACCCCTTTTAAAACACAACTAATGGTAACTTTAATACTTTTTTGAGTTGGTAAACTAGTTGATGCTTTCTGCATTGGGGCCTGTGTACAGGTGTATAATAAAGAAAAAATGTTAGACAAACCACTGATAATTTAACTCTTAAAGGTATACGTTCACAAAAGTTAAACACAATATGGTGAGATGATAGTTTTTTTATTAAGCCTTTCTTTTGAAGATGAGTTTCTCTTCACAGTGTGTAGGTTCAAGCAAAAAAATAAATAAATCTGACATAAATGCAAAAGTAAGTAGGCCTATAACTGTTGGTTTTTTTTTTAAATTATTTTTGGTAATATGTAGGTGTGAACAAAGTACCAAGTGTTATTGAAAGTCAGTTAGACTGCCTTTCTTAACAATGAACTTTGTAATCAGGACAACAGTCATTTAATGTCTTGTAATATTTGAGTTAAATCTCTGAGAAATTATAGTTTGTTATAAAAAAAAATAAAGAAACTGCTGACAAACATACATCTTGAAGGTGTATTAGAAGAAACATTTGTGTTTTAGTCAGCGAGGAGAGGAAAAAGGAGACCAGATGTTGTGCGACTTCCTTCCCACGCGGGGTCGCTGTTCTCTCTTTCAACGCTTGCCGCTCTGTGTGACGTCACATGTAAACACCAGCACCAGCTGCAGCAGCAGCACAGCACAGCACAGCACCCCATGGCCTGCTGCATGTCCTCCTCACTACTCCAGGCTGAGCAGCGATGTTACAAATAAAAAAGCACATTAGATACAGCTCTCCGGGTATTGCCGCTGCGAAGCTGTTTTCCTCCGGTCCCGTCAAAAACCCGGTCGTGTTTCTGGATATCGAGGCTGACAGCGAACCGCTTGGAAGAATTACCATTGAGGTACTCAACTAGCTGTAGCGTTAGCCTCCTGCTTAAGCACAGCGCATTGGATGAGTGTCAACATTCATTCAGTGAATTACATGTGATTTGTATTTTTTCTTTTAGTTGAATGCAGATGCAGTGCCAAAGACTGCAGGTACGTGTTTACCTCTGCGGACTATTTTAAGAGTCTGTCCTCGACTTTGTTTTTAAAATGAATTAGACTATGTTTTCCTTGCAGAGAACTTCAAAGCACTGTGCACCGGGGAGCATGGCTTTGGATTCAAGGGGTCCATGTTTCACAGGGTCATACCGGAGTTCATGTGTCAGGTAAGACTGGACAGAGAGGTTTGTGTTCAGAGAGAGAGATCTGGCTGTGGTTGCTGACTCGTTGTTTGTTTTGCGTTGCAGGGGGGAGATTTCACCAACCACAACGGAACAGGGGGGAAGTCTATCTTTGGGAAAACCTTCAAAGATGAAAACTTCAAATTAAAACACACTGGTCCAGGTGCTTATAACCACAGCTCACACGTTTACTGTAGACATCTTCATCTTCTTTACGTGGTCTGAAAAAAAGAAAAAATCATGTTTTGTCTATTGATAATACATCCATCCATCACTTTTACCTCTTTATATTCAACAGTAGACGTACTGCTAAATGGTTGATTGTCTGTAATATGATGGGGACAAAATATTGACACAGCAATATATCCACATCCTGACTTGTGCTATATACTTACTTATCATTTGCTGCCAAATATAGACATTTCCCCAACTTTTGACTTTAGTTCTGCTCTTTTTCTTTTAGGGGCAATTTCTATTCTTTAAATAATCACATATGTGGGTGTATCATTCTATGTTTGTCTTTCCATTTATCAAATAATACAGAATTTCTGTATCACGATATTATCGTTATGGTGTGCCATGTATGTTTCTGTATCGTGAGTCACTCCTGTGATTTGCATTCCTACTGTGTGTTGTGTTGTGTGTTTTGGTGGATTCTTCGGCGGGGGGGGGGTTGAAACATTAGTTGACCATAAGGGAAAAGCAGCATACTAAATAAATCAAAATTAGGATTATTATTTAATGAATTGTCAACAAATAACGGCACACTCTCTCTATTTAATAGTATTATTTTTTCCCAAACGTCGTAACTATTTTCTGACATGTGGAGATGAATCTGCTCAAAATCAAAAGTTCCAAAAATGTGTCAGTGAAGATCATTGTTTAATTCAGAGTTTATCTTCTGTATTTTATAATTGTATTCATTCACTCTCATGGCCTCCTAACAGTATCATTTTCCCTTAGAGCTGCCTCTCCACTAGGTGGCAGTGGCTAGTTTCATGCAGCATGTAAACTACCACTTACACACATTCAGCAATCCCCAGGTGAACGACCTACTTTTTGCAGTTATCAGAATGACTCCTTTCTTGAATAAACTTCAGCCACATGCTGTTTATTTGGCACTTCATTTAAAAAAAAAAAAATGTTGCATAATCACAGTTTGCATCATTTCTTGAGAAAAGAACAGAAAACAGACACAGTTGTTGCCTTATGTCATGCTTCTCGTTTGCTGTAGTCAGGCCCAAATGTTATTGAGTCAGTGCTAAAAATGTGGTCAAGATATGTTTGTTGACTGTTTCAATTTAATGGATTTTCTTCTTGGCTTTTTTTTATTTATCTCTGCAGGAACACTTTCAATGGCAAACTCAGGGCCAAACACAAACGGCTCTCAGTTCTTTATCTGCACGGCTAAAACTGAATGGTAAATATTTTTACAGTTTTCATCGCACCTCAGTTCTTCCTCTTTAAGTCTCACCAAGCACATTTTGTCTCTCCTTTGACAGGCTGGATGGTAAACACGTGGTGTTCGGGCAGGTCAAGGAAGGTATGGATGTCGTCATTAAGATGGAGTCTTTTGGTTTGCACGACGGGGGTGTGATCAAGAAAATTGTCATCACTGACTGCGGGGAGATCAAATAACACCGAAGGTGGCACATGGACTTCTGTCTGATGACTCACTATGTCATCATTTAGTATTTAATTAATCCCATATTCATGATTGTTTCATGGATGAACTGCCATAAATGACCTTAAATCAGATTTTTTACTTTTGGTTATAGTTTAAATTGTTCTAATAAGAGTAACAATGGTATGAACGGGAGTTACTCTGATGCATTTTAATCTTAAATACAGACATGTATTACTGAGAGTTTCGCTTAACCCATGTAAATTGTGTACACTACCAAAGCTTCTACAATGTAACATTTTCTTATTGTGTAATTATTCTACATTTACTGCCTATTAAAAGAGCGTTTTCAGATTTTACTAGCTCTGGTCTCCGTTCAGGACATTTGCTTTCTTGTGCCACAGACCCTGCTGGTTTTAAAGCTTCCTGGAAATGAGCCAGAAGCTTTTTTTAGACACCAGGCTCTCATGTGCGTCTGACTTCCTGTCCATCAGAGCAGGATGTGACATCATGTGACATCCACCTACAGTGGAGCCTTAATATCGCATGAATCTGGTGGACAGATGACAGACCTGTGGGCTCTAGCCTCATTGGACGCAGTGCAATGCGGATGATTTAATCTGCTGGATCCATAAAGCGAACTGAAAATGTCTTCAGTGTGTATGTGGGCTGCTGCTCTTCCCTCTCACTGCCTCTTTATTTGAAACACAGAGCGCCTGGAGGAGAGGGCGAGGGAGAACAGGAGACCAGGACATGTCTGACAGCCAGAGACTGGGTGGTGCTGCTTATCGAGCTAATACTTTATGAAAGTAAATAATGAAGCGACGTGAAAAAGCAGCTCTTGCCCCTAAATGAAACCACATGCTCGCTGACCTTCCACCGTTTGTTTGAATTCTCAGATTACATTGTTGCCATAGAGACTTTTCAGCTCTCACTGTGTTTGAGGGTGAGATGTTGTAACAAACTTGATATAATTTGGGTCCCCACCCTCCGGTTCAGTTTTAGTTATTTGGAATGCACGTCAAATATTGTGCATGGAAACTTGGCAGG